CTACTGACGGCTCCTCTGGGGGTGGGCGGTCCACATGTTTGTCCTTCCAGCGGTCAGAGCCTTTCTCTCTGTCTCCTCGGGCAGGGCTCCTGGACCTGCTGCGGGAATGCCAACGGCTCCTGCGCCTCCTTTCTCTATCCGGAGAGCGAGATCTAGAGCGGGAACGAGAGCGGTGGCGCCTCCTCCTGTCCCTGTCCCTGTCTCGATCTCTGTCTCTGTCTCTATCTCTCTCTCTCTCTCTGCTCCGACTGCGACTCCTGCTCCTCCGACTTTTCTTGCTGCTGCTGCCAGCGGCTTCAGATCTGAAGAGCATGTCAATTTCATTACACACTTGAAGTGATTTATCCCAAAATTAACCATATTTGCTCTTAATTCGTGGTGCAATTGTCTCCACTATAGTAGTTACACAGTGGCGCAATATAAATACTAAATACAATACCTCAAGCTTTTTTAAATGATTCTTATACTTGGAAAACGTCTACTAACAAGTGCATGCCTTATTGAGTGCTAAAATAATTGATTATAATCAATTCTAACTTGAGATAACATGACAGAGACATTATAAAGGAGAGAACAGTTCACTGGTTGTAATATGAACGGGATAGCTCGTAACGCTATAACATGGTGTCTTTATAGCATGAAAAATGTGTTTCTGTGCATTATTTGAGCCAAATGCTACAAACTATTTATGCGAATTAGAATTAGTTATATTTAATTCAAGCACATCACTTAAGATGATAGCGTACTTTCAGATTGTCATGCTCAAACTACCTAAACACTCGACTACCCCAGAGGACGAAATCTGCAAACAACATCACATCACCAATCATCAACGTGAGTGTTCAGGCTAGATTTGTTACAGAACAGGATCTGATTAATAATGTACTATTTGGGCATAAATTAATATTTTGAGAAACTACTTTGACACAAAACATCAATACATCAATGAAAAAATTAAATTAATTTCTGCAGAAGGGATCAGCTGAACTTTAGCTCAATGCCAAATGCATTTGGAAACCATGTGATCCTGTGCAATCCCTGGTTAAATTCACTGCCCATATCTTGGATATCTGGGAACTGTATGATTTTCCACTCATGGTGAATGTAAACTCTTAGCCACATGCAGTGCATCAAAAGCTGTGACATTTGTGAAACAGAAGCCACACCACGCACTCAGTAACAAAGTAACGAAGTAACGAGTATCTTTAGTAATTCAGAGGTAGAAAAGATTTTCTATATGTACTTTTGACAATCATCTGTGGGGACAAAAGTCAAATTATTATTGAGCCAAACCTATACTTTGTTGTAAAACATGCACTCATATTATTAGGAAATAACAGCTTATTAGAACATTGTTTTACTGAACCAGTTTGTATTGCAATGAGGTCCAAGTGTAAAAGAGCACTGATTGCCCCTTTGATCCTATGGGAGCTAAAGGGCCATTGCGACTATTTATTAAAACAAGACAGGTCACTTTTTTAAGCCAAATTAGGCTTTGTAAAAACACAGTAAATCAGCCCCAAGTGCTTAAAAATGAATGGTGATATAAACATAATCCTTTGTTACCATCTGGCTTATTTAACAAGTAAGTTTGTTCAAGAACCAAAAAGACATCTCCACATTACGTTTTCTTCCTGGTGAGCACAAATAATCTCACCTTTTTTTGCTGCTTTTTGAGTCTGTCGCACAGGCACTGGGCATGAACATCTCCAACTCTTTCATAGCATCAGCTGCAACTTTCACATCATCTTCATCTAGCATAGTCTGGCCAACAAACAAACACAGATTACCATCAAAGCTCTCAGATCTGATTTCAAACATACAGTGAGTCCAAACAGGCGAGAAACACTTACTCTAGTGCTGGGATTATCTGGTCTGCAAAGGGCAGGAAACATCTCCTTCAACCTGTCTTTCTCACTCTTCGGCTTGACAATAGGCTCACACCCTACATGATGTATAATAGATTAAAATGCAAAATGATCTTTCTTCACAATGATACAGTCTCCATAATAATGTCAAACAGAACTCATTTTATTTTACCAAATTTTGAGACTGACCTTTACTCGTGGATGCTTTAGTTGGTGGTCGCATAGTTTGGATGAGACGGAGTAAATTGCTGATGAGAGAGTCCTGTACAGATTAAAGGACAGAAAGCAAAATTAACCAACAACTCACTGCAAACTAAGTACAAAAACAAGAACAAATCAACCATGCCAATGAAGGGCTGCACACAAGAGAAATGATGAAATTACAAAATGATTTTTTTGCCTTTTTTAATGTATTTTTCTATGTCGGGTCCACAATACATTCAGATCAACCAGTAGAGCAGGCGAGAAAAACTGCAAGTCTCACAATCAACATAAAACATGATGCAAAACACTTACTGTAAACTCAGCCCCATTTTTAAGCAGTACAGACTTAAATCCATCAAATGTTGGGTTTTTCTCTGCAAGACTGATGACAAATTCAGCTGTAAACAACACAAAAATAAGGGTTAGTATTGATGAAGCAATCATTTTTCATAGACATGTAGGGTGCCAAACTGATTTAGTGAAAACATTCTCTCTCGCTCTCTTGAACACAGGAACAAAAACACATGTCAGTGTTCCCCACATACAGGCTGATTTAACTATTTCTAATTGCCATTTTGTCCCTCTTTAGCAAATTTCAAATATTTATAATCTTAGCTATCAGCTGCTTGTGTTTGAACATTTACGTGGTTCAGTGCTGCATGCTCAGTGAAAAATGTAAACTACAAAACTACAAGATTAAACACAACATATTTCTTTTCTTATTCCAAATCATACATGTCATACTACATTATACAGGTGAGCAAAAAGAACAATGAGATGAGTTTGATACCCTTAAAAATTAGAACAGCAGACCACTTCTCCTGAGATTTCTTGGTTTAAACAATAGAAAAACCCACTTTTTATGATGTTTCTTGAAACTAGAAGACAATTTTGAAAGACAAGCACATTTTTTGGTTTTATTCATTTATTATGAAAGCTGGCTAATTCTTAAATTGGATTATTATTAGCCTGTAGATCAGCAGCTAGCAGTCAGAATTTGTTGAGCGCTGTAGTTTGTACAATATGTTTGCCTAATGCATGCTGGGTATTGTAGTGAGAGAACACTGATCATTTAAAGGGGAGCAACCAAGTTTTCAACATTTTTGCTTAACTAAATGGTTAACATGCCCAACAAAATCATTCAGAGTGGTTTGGTGTGAAATGCTCCATTCTCAAGATACTTCTCGAGTCAGAATTGTTCACAATGGTGGCGACACGAACCAGACATCTGAAGTGTTTTATGTCTCTAAAATCTCCCTCACAAAGTTATTACATAAGATGGTTATGAATACATTGCTTTACAATAGTTTTGTGACAAAGTTTTGGCCTAAAGTGTACTGAAAGGTGTTCTAAGGCAAAACAGTCCCCCCACAAAAAAATCTATTTTTTCAGATTAACTATTATTTTAGCATCATCACCATCACCTATAAAAAAAACTCAAAATACCAATCTATGGTTTTGGACAGTAAATAAAATGGCTATATTTGCACTGTAATCGTCAATTAATTTCTTATTCCTATCACTAGCACCGTAACGAAATCTGCGTAGTCAAGTGTCTCTACAAATCAACCATTTTACATCAAACCGCTTTATAAGACTATTTTACATGTTTAATCTTAACCACTGGATTATGGGGACATTTCGAGAAATCAGTGTTATTCCCCTTTAAGTCTAACATTCTGCAGAAGCGGTATTAAAACGGACCTCGTGTTCAGGATCACAGGCGGCCACATTTTGTAACTGCTGCGCATTTCAACCACAAATCTCGCAAAAATAGTGAACGTCATGATGAGTTGTGAGACGGACTAACATTAAAACAGCGTGAACAGTCACAGAAGACAGGACCACACCGCCAGCACAGCTAACACTGCTAACGAGGGTTAGCACAACAGAGTGACAAACAGCTCGGTAGACGGTTCATTTACAGCAGCTGGTCAACACATAACATATTCTCAAATTATGAGTAATTTTAGTCTTGACTGATACCAAATCCAAACAACACCAGCTCAAAGTTAAAGTTTCTGCTTCTAGAGGCCACAGCAGCCACAGCTCGACACCGCTCACGGATAAAGCCAGCCTTACTGTTATGAAGATAAATCCTTTAGCTTACCGAGGTCCTTGTCGCTGATTCCCAAGTGGTTATCAAGCTCAGTACAAACTTTAGACACTAAAGACAAGTATTCGAGCTTCTTAAGCTCGTCTTCTCCGACGTCCACCATCTTTAGTCCAGCAGCTCTGCTGTTGTTGTTAGTGAGACAGGACGTAAAAGCAGCACGACCATCCCCTGGACGTTCACTTCCGGGGGACTTGTAAAAGTCCGCCCTCTTGTGGACAAAACCTGCTTAGAAACTCAGAGAGAATAAAAAACCCTTAAGCACACATTGAAATGTCATTAAATATCTATTCACTCTTCAGTCGCTTTCTTATTACGCGTACTGCATGAATTTATTATTATTTCATTATTATTGTATTATTATTATTTATTATTGTGGAAAAACACTTGACATGTAAACATTGTTAAAGTTTTAAAATGTACCATTCTTTCCAGGTATATATAGTCTGTATATTCAAACTAAGCTGCAAAAACAAGGTTTGAACTCATTGTTTTTGTGAGGTCAAGACAACCAACACATTTAGCTACATATGTCCAGCCTATTCAGCCTGTGGCAGTTTAGACCTGTCTATTCACGCTTAAGTTAGAAAGTTATGAGTGTTTCTTGAATGAAGCTCAACACAGAGCGGCCAGTCAGAATAGAGGTCATTTACATATGTGTGTCTTAAAGTCACTGTAACAAAACATCCTATTTGATTCTAAGGGATAAAAAAAACATTGGAAAATGGTCTTATAAAAATGAACTATAATTTTTTCATACAGAAATCTACATCGTTAGTGGACCCCAAAGAAAGAAAAAGTAATGCAAAACAATTGAGAAGAAAAAGGACATGCGCCCTTTAAGCGGCGAGCTGGTGCATTACTGTGCAACGAGCTCTAGTGCCCCCCTGTGGCAGATGTGTGAACTTCAAGAAGCGTCACTGACAGACAGTCCAGTGCCAGGGGTTGCCACTCCAGGCGGGACTGTTCTTGGATTTAGGATGCTCAGACTGGTCTGGACACGGTCACCCTCATCTACTAGAGGCTTCGGACCCTCTAGGCTGCTTAGTGGAGCTTTCTTGAAAAAAGACAGAGCTCGTAGTCATACTTTGTTTAACAGACGGGTCTCTGAACCCACGCCCACCCACGACTTTGACAGCTACCCTAAACTTCTGAATTTCAGGTCTTCCCAGGGTAGCTTCAGGTAAAAATAAAAACACGTCCACAGACCCTTTTGACTCGTATGGTAACAGAGCTATGTGGCTAACTGAACGCTGTCTATGCAGTGTTTTTGAGGTTCTGTGTGAGGGCTAGCTAGCTAAATGTCACTTTATCCCAGTCCGCTAACTGATGTAAACAAGCGTAACTTCCCAGCCAGCTTGCCTGCCCGGCGCATCCAGCAAACAAGCTGTTTAGTAAAAAAGCTAAGCACCACGACAAAACGGCGACTTGCTTGGTTGAAAAACCTGTTTTAAACGCAGGCTGACAGCAAGAGATACAGCAGTACAAGCTAGTGGAGGAGATTAGCTAAACTAGCCAGGAAGCTTGGCAGCTCAGCGTGTCTCACATAACTGTAATAGGTACACAGCTAGCTTGCTAACAGACCTGTTGGGAAGCTGTTTGTAAGACAGAATTTATACGATTTTCATTCATTTCATTTGACACTGTAGGCTTTTGATAGATTCCAGCTTTCAGCAACGAATGACAACCTGCTTTTCTAGCTCATTCAGACGTGGTGAATCTCAAACAGGTCTGAACTCTGATGCCATATTAAAGGGAGATTTCACCGATTTATCAAAAATATCTGTATAATGCAGTGGTTGAGATGTAAACAAAGTCAGTCAGAGTGGTTTGATGTAAAATGGTTCATTTACAGAGAAGCTTACAGACTGATTTCTTTAGAGTGGTGGTTAGAGGAGCCAAAGGTCCTGATGTCTACAACTCAAGTATAACCATTTTATTTACTATCCAAACCTACCAGTCAACCTACACGTGTCTTCTTGTTTTTTATGTAACGTCGATGATGGTAAAATAATTGTCAGTGTAAAAAAAAAAAAATAAAGTTTTCTTTTGGGACTGTTTTGCCTAACAACACCCTTCACTTATCCCCATTCCATGAATGGATTAAAAATAAATTGCTTAAAATAAGTTTTAGACCAAAACTTTATCACAAACCTACTATAAAACAATGTCTCAGACCTCAGTGTATTCATAACCATAATTCATAATTTCATGTGATAACTTTCTGTGAGGGAGCTTTTAGAGATGGACGTCTGGTTCCTATCACCGCCACTGTGAATGATTCTGACAGTAAGTTTCTGTAGAACGGAGCATTTCTCATTAAACCTCTTTAAATGTTTTTCTTTACATATTAACCATTTAATTATGCAGAAAATGTGAAAAATCGGTGGAGGTCCCCTTTCAGTTAATTGTGCTTCTACAGTAATGCACAAGTTACCTAAGATGCAAACTATGATGACCTACTTCTGTTTGAACAGAGCACCTGGAGCAGCCTGTTTCAGTATGGCATCAGGGGGTGATCGGCAAGAGACTTCACATCCACCAAAACACACGAATCGACTGAGCAAAGAGAGATCCCCCTACTTACTGCAGCATGCACACAACCCTGTTGACTGGTGAGCAACTCTTTAGAAGAACTTGTCTTGCTGTATTTAAGGAATCATATCTTCCATCACTTTCCATAGATGGATCGTATAGCCTATAGAATGAATGGTATGCTTTGAAACTTTAACAGTGTTCAAATGCTATTTCAATTTTTTGATCTAGAAAAATGTTTATTCTTCATGATATAGGACCTTTAATGAGAAGATGCATTTGTAAAAAAAAAAAAACAACGGTTCAAGAAGAAGAATTTAATACCAGAGCTTTTTCACATTTTAGTGTGTGCAGCATTAAGGGGTCCATTTCATAAAAAATGTGTTTTTCTTCTTTTCTGAAATAAAAGTTTGATGTTTTAAATAAACATTGCTAAAATTTCACAACATACAGTTCACTCCCCAGTCTTCCAGTGTATGGAAACTAAGCTGCAAAACCAGTCTGTTCTGAATGATCTGTATCTGTGATGTCACAAAAACCAACGCATTTACTCATATCATATTTAGTCCTCAACAGTTTAGTTCCACCTATGCATGCCGAAGTTTTAGGGAGCAGCCCAGACTGCTTTTGGAATGAGATGCAATACAGGCCAACCAATCAGAACAGAGGTCATTTAAATATTTATTGTATGTGTTAAAGGTGCAATAACAGAAACAGCCTGTTTAATTCTAAAGAATAAAGAGAAGTTGGAAGACGGTCATGTAAACATGAAATATAACTGTTTTTGGTACATAAAACAATAGTAACACTATAAGCAGACCTCGGAATTAAAAACAAAATCCAAGAAAAAATGTAGGATGTGAGCTGTTTAATGTATTTATAACGTGTGGTTATTCATTTAATGCACCTCTGCTTGTTTCTTTTTTTTTGTTTCAGGTTTCCATGGGGCAAAGAGGCCTTTGATAAGGCAAAAAGTGAAGACAAACCCATTTTCTTGTCAGGTAGTATAAGTCACTTCTGAAAACTTGAAACCCTTTCTGTCATTTTGTCCACTTTGCCCTTTACATGGTACATTGTACTCTGTCACAGTGGGTTACTCTACTTGTCACTGGTGTCATGTGATGGAGAGAGAATCATTTGAGGACGAGGACATTGGGAAGATCCTGAGCGACAACTTTGTTTGTATAAAGGTTGACAGGGAGGAGAGACCTGACGTTGACAAAGTCTACATGACATTTGTACAGGTTTGGTCCGAGTCAGACTTGTCTAATTTGCCATTATGTACTATTTTCAGCAAATGAGATTCCTCTTAGAGGCAATGCCATATATCAATTTTTTCTTCTTTTCTGTCTTACTTATTAGGCAACCAGTGGAGGTGGTGGCTGGCCGATGAGCGTGTGGCTTACTCCAGATCTCAGGCCGTTCATTGGAGGAACTTACTTCCCTCCAAGAGACAGTGGGAGAAGACCTGGATTTAAAACTATACTTATGCGGATTATGGAGCAGGTACAGTGTAAATTGTCTGCAAACTTGTGCATTACACAAGTGAAGGTTTAGTATGCTCAGTTTGTACCATGGCTGCCTCTGTTGTAGATAATGGTCTCTTATGGGCTGTTTAATTCAGCTCCCTCTTGCTAGAGTTTCACTGAAGGAGCAGATAAATGTTGAAGGTTTCTGGATAGCATTTTAAAGACCAGTCGTACTTGTCTCAGTGGCAGAATAACAGAGATGCACTGGAATCCAGTGGAGAACGGGTGGTGGACGCTCTGCGGAAGGGCACATCCATCTCAGCTAGCCCAGGAGAAATGCTGCCGTCAGGCCCAGATGTTGCCAACAGATGTTTCCAGCAGCTGGCTCACTCATATGAAGAGGAGTATGGAGGATTTCGAGATGCACCCAAATTCCCTACACCAGGTAAACAGATGCTAAAATAATCAGCAAACAGTACATATCTGAATCAATAGAAGCTGCAGTAGAATTCAAGGATTATTGATCAGACCATTTCTGGTATGTGGTTTAAGGGAGCTTCCTAAAACTCTGTGGGCTGAAGAAGTGTGTGACTATTCAGTTTTACTGGTTGACTAGTAATTCAAAAAAAGTAGTCGACTAGTCTTGAATGTTGTAGACGTCTGTGAGAAGTGTTGTAATAGTAGCTGGGGAGGCAGACGCTGTGGTTAAAGGTACACTATATTGCCAAAAGTATTCGCTCATCTGCCTTCACACGCATATGAACTTGAGTGACATCCCATTCTTAATCCATAGGGTTTAATATGATGTCAGCCCACCCTTTGCAGCTATAACAGCTTCAGCTCTTCTGGGAAGGCTTTCCAGAAGGTTTAGGAGTGTGTTTATGGGAATTTTTGACCGTACTTCCAGAAGCGCATTTGTGAGGTCAGACACTGATGTTGGACAAGAAGGCCTGGCTCGCAGTCTCCGCTCTAATTCATCCCAAAGGTTTTCTATCGGTTTGAGGTCAGGACTCTGTGCAGGCAAATCAAGTTCTTCCACACCAAACTCGCTCATCCATGTCTTTATGGACCTTGCTTTGTGCACTGGTGCGCAGTCATGTTGGAACAGGAAGGGGCCATCCCCAAACTGTTCCCACAAAGTTGGAAGCATGAAATTGTCCAAAATCTCTTGGTCTGCTGAAGCATTAAGAGTTCCTTTCACTGGAACTAAGGTTCCGAGCCCAACTCCTGAAAAACAACCCCAAACCAAAACCCCCCTCCACCAAACTTTACACTTGGTACAATGCAGTCAGACAAGCACCGTTATCCTGGCAACCGCCAAACCCAGACTCGTCCATTGGATTTCCAGACTGAGAAGCGTGATTCGTCACTCCAGAGAACACGTCTCCACTGCTCTAGAGTCTAGTGGTGGCGTGCTTTACGCCACTGCATTCAACGCTTGCACTGCTCTTGGTGATGTAAGGCTTGGATGCAGCTGCCCGGCCATGGAAACCCATTCCATGAAGCTCTCTACGCACTGTTCTTGAGCTAATCTGAAGGCCACATGAAGTTTGAAGGTCTGTAGCGATTGACTCTGCAGAAAGTTGGCAACTTGTTGCACAGGTGGCATCCTATCACGGTACCACGCTGGAATTCACTGAGCTCCTTTCCTGCCTGTTCACTGCAGTTTTTTAACCACCACTGTATTCCAGGCACTGTCCTCGACTGCTGCCCATAGCGCTAGCTGATGGATTCATAGTCAACTACTCTGTGCAACCCCTAGTAAGCTGTGCTTCTTCTCAAGGTAATTTCATTCGGAGTGACCCTCTGTTTTTCTGCATTACAGTGAACCTGATGTTCCTGATGTCATTTTGGGCAGTAAATCGTGCTTCCACTGAGGGAGCAGAGGCATTGCAGATGACTCTCCACACCCTCAGAATGATGGCTTTAGGGGGAATTCATGATCATGTGGCTCAGGTAATCCACAGGAAAATAAAATTATATTGAGCTCCATAGTTTGCCCAATTTCTTTCTTTCTTTTTTTCTATTTTTGTCTTTCTTTCTTTCTTTCTTTCTTTCTTCCTTTCTTCTGTCTCAGGGTTTTCACAGATACTCCACAGACTCCTCTTGGCATGTGCCCCACTTTGAGAAGATGCTGTATGATCAGGCCCAGCTGGCAGTTGCCTACATTACTGCCTACCAGGTGTGTGAGTTTGTGTGTATGCCTGACGTATTGTTTCTCTTCTTCTTTAAATGCTGACTTTTTTCCCCAACACCACATATATTCGGTTTTACTGACTTGCATGAATGTCAGGGCTGTTGAAAGATTACTTTCCAAATAATCACATTATTTTGTGTAGGTAATTAATCACATTTGTCTTATTTGGTTAAATGTGACCTTAAAAAAATATTTTTCACTTCAAAAAGCAGTGCATTTTGTTATAGTTATATAAATTGGCAAAGGGATGTATTTATTAATTTCTGTAATTCAGTAACTTATTCACATGAATTGAACATGAAAATGTTTTCCATAGAGTGAACACAGTCTCCATGTTTCATCATCGATTTCCAGTGAAAGCAACAATGGCTGCATGTTCCAACCTGTGAGTGTATATGTTATGTATACAGTAATATGCAGAAGTTTGGGCGTCCCTGTTTAAATTACATGTTTAGTAAACACATCGTCTACAGAGAACAGACTTCTGCACATTTAATGAACAATAACTGTTTTATTTAACATATTGGGAAAAAATATACCATATTTTTTTGGTACAATACAATTTATAGAAAAGTTACATTTTAAAGTTTGTTCTCTGTAGAGGTTTTTTTTTGTTTTTTTTATAGAGGAAAACCAACAAAACATGTAAATTGCATTTTTTTGGGTATTCGAACTTTTGCATATGATTGTATCATATATACAGTCATTAGTTCCAACACCTCTGCAATTGCAGCCCTCTTGCACTCACACTGGTTTTTGTTACAGTGGAGGAGTAATTAGCTTTCCTGTAGGTCTGCTGTAACCACTGCCAAATTACTGATATTGCTGATATTGCAGGCATCAGTGATATGTTTTGTTTCAGTGATAAAAAAAAATCAACAAGTCTTCACATTTGTGTAGGTAAGTGACTCGAATCGGTCATTAATGTGAATGAACCTGTGTCCTGAAACGACCCATATGCACATCCTAATCAAAAATGTCATGTGAAAGGACCATGTGCGTCATGCACAACTAACAAACAAATTAGCTCTCAGCTGTTTATTATTAGAGCAAGACAAAGGCGATAAAAGGTCAGAAGGTAACTTCAGGTTAGGCGCTGCTTCCGCATTAACACTGAAACAGTGGAAAAAAAACTCATGAATTCCAGTATGACCCTTCTCATTACGGGGTTGCATGGGCCAGATCACATTTGCGTGTTCACACAGTTCTGAGTTATTCTATTAAGTTGTGCTACTTCAGCCTGGTAATGTTACTCTAACCATAGCAACATATAGCAAGTAAGCAGCTGGGTTTTAGCCTGCATTACTATGGATGGTTTATGGGTTCCAAGTAGAAAAATGTATTGACGGCATTAGAAACATTAAGAGCATTTATAATTTAATGTCTTATCAACATGTTAACCTTGACGACACCGATGCACATACTTTTATTCTCACTATTATAACAGATGGGGGGGTAGGCTCACATACAAAGAAATCATGTATAATCATATTGTAGAAAGTAGCATGTAAGTACTGATTGTTTATCAGTTCTCTTCTGTTTTTCAGAATCTTTAAACATCCTTAAAGGTTTAATAAATTGAACTTTAGAATTAGATTAGACTTGCATTTATATATATATATATATATATATATATATATATATATGTATATATATATATAGAGAGAGAGAGAGAGAGAGATTAGTTTTCCTAAATCTGTTACTCCGTGAGAAGTATGACATCTCAGTAGTTTGCTTTATACTTGTTGTAACAGTGCTGTGGTATGGTTGCTGTTTCTCATTGTAGGTGTCTGGAGAGCGCCTTTTCGCAGATGTTGCCCTCGATGTGTTGCATTATGTCTCCAGAGACCTTAGCCACAAGGTGTGCCATCTTCCTGCTCATTAGTAATTGCTTTCCATAGCCTTGCTGAGTCGGCAACGTAGAAAAATCCACCAGGTCTGTGGCCATTTTGAGGTCAGCCCACCTCCATGCAGTTGCATAGCACGGTGGCCATTTCATGATGATAAATGGTCCACTTCCAGTGAATGAAAAGCACCATTAAAATCCCTTGAATGATTAGGATTATATTTCTCATGATTTATGAACTAATTAGGTGTTAAGAGAATTCATCATTGTGCTAATGCACTGTACGCTATAGATTCTGTAGGTTCTTGTATGGCCTTTGGCCTTTTAGTGGAGGTCAGCTTCCATGACTGCTGAAAGCACTATTATAAAAGAGCAAGACCAGAGGTCACTTACTCTAGAAAATACAGCGTTAAATGCTTCTATGTTTAAAATGCTTTTAACAAGTGTTTGGTTTGAGGTTGTTTTAACACTTTGCTGCCCCCTACAGTCTGGAGGCTTCTACAGTGCTGAGGATGCAGACTCGCTTCCCACACCTGAGTCCGGTGAGAAGAGAGAAGGCGCATTCTGTGTGTGGACTGCTGGAGAGGTCAGGGAGCTGCTCTCGGATACGGTGGAGGGGGCCACTGAGGGTGCGACACAGGCTGACATCTTCATGCATCATTATGGTGTGAAAGACCAAGGCAATGTGGAGCTAGAACAGGTGCGCTTAATGTCTGGGTGTTAACCAAGCAAAAAAGTGTTTGGTTTTCATTCTACTTTTTAATAAACATATACAGTAGTGTTCTAAAGTCAGGGACCATCCTTCGTTATTTAATTTATACTTTATTAAGTTATTCATTTTCAGTGTTGGGGAAAAAATCAGGAAAATAATCATATAATAAATTACACAGTATTACATTTAAATACAATTTAATTTTTAAGTATTTAGTGTGTCCATCCTTTGCCTTTAAAACAGCTACCATTCTTATCAAGAGACTTGCCTTCAGTTTTTCAAAGAAATCTGCAGGGATATTTTTCCACATATCCAAAGTTCAGTCATAGAAGTTGGTTGCATTTTCTGCTTCTCACAATCCAATCCCAAACACATTCAATGACATTGAGAGCTGATCTCTGGGGTGGTCAGTCCATCATTTTGAGAACACCAGCAGCTTCTGTGTTTGATTTGCAATTTTTCTTCTTTTCTGTCTATTTTCTTCTCTCAGTAACGACTTCTTGACAGCTACACATCCTTTCAGACTCATAGTGCTGAATTGTCTTCTCACAGTGGGAGGATGGACAGAAAGCCCTGTGGATTTTTTCAGATCTGAAGCAAGATTGAGGCTTGATTTTCTCCTCTCTCTCAAAAATGGTGATAGTTTTGGTGGTCTAAAAGATCTTGCCCAGTTGTTAGGAACCCCATTTTCTCTGTATCTTTTTTTTTTCAAAGATTTTTTTTGAACTCTAGTTCCTTTGACTTTTTTTCTTTCCTTATATAAGTGGAATATCTTATATCTAATCTCCACAGAAGTACCTCCTGAAAAATTAATAACATGTACTTAAAGGCCTGAAAGTAAATAAATAACGGGTGGTCTTTGGACACTGCTGTATGAATAGTCAAACTGTCATTTTTCTTCTTACTTTGTCTGTAATAAGTATGTGTCCTCCTTCTGCAGCTTTTGTTCATCTTTTGTTTTTCGGGTGTCTGCAGGACCCACATGGCGAGCTGCAGGGCCAGAATGTGCTGATAGTGCGGTATTCAGTGGAGCTCACTGCTGCTCGCTTTGGCCTCAGTGTGGAAAGACTGACTGAAGTGCTTGCCAGTGCCAGGACAAAACTGGCCGAAGTGCGCAGAGCACGCCCTCAACCTCATCTGGACACTAAGATGCTGGCCTCCTGGAATGGTAGTACCCTACAACCTATTTAATTGTGCTCTCTTTTCATTCTTATCATTGAGGCAAGCAGTATAGTCATCACTGAAGTGTGTTGGTAAACTGGGCACTTTGCTAATTAGTGTTCTTAATTACTTTCCATAGAATGCTTTCTAATGGAAACACCCATTAATTAATAAGTAAAATGCTGAAGCATGAATAAAATAAGCCATAGATATAGCCCTTGAGGACTCAGCTTGCCCACTCAAACCCACTCGATTATTGATCGTGGTAGGCCAACAATGCCGTTGTAAATGCAATGCTGTGATATTGTTTTCACTAATAGCACCACTGCTGTGAGCATTCTCTGGAGATTGGCTTGCTGAGAAATGTAAGGCCAAGTTTTTGAAAGCTCTTTGAGAAGCTTTCTGTACTGTGTGCCCTCCTAATGAAAAGCTATCAAAACCTTCACAGGGTTCCCTGGCCCTTTCAGAGCCCCCTACATGTCTAACACTGCTCATAGTGACTAATGAAGTGATATTTTAATTGAAGAAAGATGGAGACATTGTTTAATCACAGCAGTCCTTAGTGTGCTGCACTCCATTACTTTGCTAATTCACTAAGACTGCATATCTCTACCTGCAAAGTAACTCACATTAATCAAAGATGATGGGGCCCCTCTCACATTTCTATGGGCTAATGGAACGCTCTGACAGGCGTATTGTTAGTGATCTGAGCTCACACTGCCTGTGTTTCTTGAGATCAAATATCCCTCAGCAAAACTCCTCTTTTCTGAACAGCAGCATGGCAATTCTTTAAGTATTGTGTTTACTGTAGATATGAATGGAGTAGCACCATTAAAGAGACAGCATGCTGACATAGAGGCAGTTTGTAGGCTTATCTCTTTCCTCTTTAGCCGAAGAGGCAGGACGCATGTACTTTTAGGGATATTTATCGTTTATTGAAAGGTGTGTGCGAAGACCTGTCTTATATATGCTATTGTAAATGAAATCAGCTGCTATTAAGTTTCCACAGATTTATAGGTAAAATATCCTGCTGATAAAGCATCAATGTAGCCTGCTTATAGGACATTTATTTTGTTTTATTATAGCAAAACATATGACTCTAATGTGATAAGAATTGCCTATTTTTTTTAGCATGGACTGGACTGGTAAACCATAGCACATAACACCATCATTGGTTAAAATAACAAAAGCATGTGAATGCATCCAAACCTGACCTAGAATAAAGTTATAACACAATATGACTTTGATATAACACTCAGTATAGTACTCACCTGATTCTAACACAGTTTCTGCTATTTATTTTAGTTATTTATTTGATAACTGAAAATTGGCAATGATCCTTAACCATTACAGTGGCAAATGACCATCATATCAGTTAAACCACAGCGTAATTAAAACTATTGGAGTATGCTTCATTTTTGGCCATATAAATTAGTGCACAGATCATGAAATTGGCCAGTTTTTTACATGAACATGTGAAACAACCTAGTATCTCTGCAGTATTTTCTATTAGCAAAATTGTTCAGTACATAACTACGCTACAACATTTTGATACAGCAGCAACATTCAGATACAGCACGAATGCACGTATCTGCCTCATGTTATTTATGTTATAAAATTGCAAAACAGATTAACCAAAATATATATAATAAATTGGTTGATTGTCCATTGTGTATTTGGAACAAAGATCTGCTGATTCTGAATTTGGTCCATTCCGATTGTGTATCCCTATAAAAATGAATCGTCAATGCTTTAGCTCCTTAAGTACTGGACAAAGTAACTATTAATGGCAAATTGTTCATGTTGGTCTAGCCCAAATATGTATGAATAATCTCACCATAATATCACGATACAAAGTTTTTGCGATATGATATGTCAATATATTAATTTTTTTTGACATTTGATAAATTATCCAAGACAAAAATAGTGCTGCATTTTAAAAATACTAACAAAAATTATTTGTTCTCAACATTTCACATACTGCACTGCACTAAATCTAATCAAACAGGACTAATTGTGCTCTCTTTGTAATCAGACATGTAGTTGGAAAGTGTTTTTAAGTACTGATAAAATCCACGATATGCTACGAAAAGAATATTGTGACATAATTTATCCCAATAACGATAAACATTGCCATATTGCCCAGCCCTATGTAGCTTCACAAAAAATGTATTGATTGAGTTTTTTGTGCTCCCTCTGACTTAGGGCTGATGCTGTCAGGGTTTGCACGGGTTGGAGCCATGTTGGGGGACAAGGCCCTGCTCCAGAGAGCAGAGCAGGCTGCACAGTTTCTCCGAGAGCATCTGTGGGATAAAGAGGGACAGCGGATGCTGCACTCCTGCTACTGTGGGGACAACATGGAAGTTGAGCAAATGTAAGAAACATCCCTTGGCCTCTCCCTGTTTAAATAAGGTTACACAACTGCAGCAATAGATTAGAAGGAAACAGTATTGTGTTGTTGTGTTCTCTTACACGAGGGAATGGGTTGACCCATCTTTTCAGTTCTTTTTTGCCTGTGGATTTGGCAGGACGCATTTATTTTCACATGGAGGAAAGTGCTGCTTCCTTAATTCATTCTGTGAAAGTGTGGGCACCTCACAGCTGGCATTTCTCCATTTGTTTGATGCTCAACCCACTCCAGTTTGAAAAAAAGCACAGACAGACTGTAGTGTATTTTGTAGGACTTAACAAATGCTTTATTTCATTTTTACCTTAGTATATCTTATATTTATCTGTAGTGCCATTATGTGATGCTAATATGTGTCACGAGGCAGGCTGTAGCACACCATGTGTGTTCTGGCAAGATGGCCATTGTTGAATTTTCAGTTACACAAGAAAACTAGCACACTTCCTCCATCCTTTTTCCCAGTATAATACACTGCTCATAATTGCCTTGGCACACATTTTGCCATTGTAGAAATGACCCGGAGTCAGCAGAAAACAAAACACTCCTTGCACTAACACACATAGTCATTGGCCTTATTTTGGAGGTGCCCTCTCACTTTTATCCCTCAGTTACCTATACTGTCAGCTCAGCAATCTCTATGATGGTGAACAATCTCTCTCTCTTGCCATTTTTTGCTGTTGGCTCAGCAGTGCCATTCCAAGACTGACAGCGTTATCCTATTCATCCTGAATTGTTTTTGTTGTCAAATCTCAGATGTGGAAAAGCAAATAAACTGCCTTAGACTAATTCCTTTCCATTGATCTGCACACGTACTAAAAGTACATATGTACACACTTAAAAAAGATAGTTCTTCAAGAGTTCTTTAGTAACCTATTATTTATTATTGTTATTCTTTACATGATTAAAGGGTTCTTTGCGTTGTGAAAAGGTTGTTCAGATTGATGGAGAATGTGCTGTGGATGGTTCTATATAGCACCAAAAATGGTTCTTCTATTGTAACAAGTAGAGGTGGGTAATCCAGGTCCAAAAAGTAAAAACCCTCCCCAGGATTTTGTTCCCACTGCTTGACTTGTCTAATTTGCTCAAACCAGCAACAAAGGTGTTCAGGCAGTTGGAACAAAATCCTGGGGAAGGTTTTTCTTTTTGGACCTGGATTACCCACCTCCAGCAACAAGCCTAACATCATAACAATCGAAGAACCCTTTTTGGTGCTATATAGAAAACACTATAGCAAAAATGCATTCTCTGCAGCTGTATTTCTTTTTAAACAAAATACAACATTTTTGTCCACATAAATGATTCATTTAATTCAGAAGTGACATACAGTACTGTGCAAAAGACCACTCTTCTATTTATGTAATTTCCAAATGGCCATTAACTACAAGTTATTCATTTTTCAGTGAAAAGAATAAAAAATTACACAAAAGCCTCCAACACTAAGAATAATTTTAAATCAAATTCAGATCTATAATATCAATTTTAATCAGTGTTTAATTGGTCCACTCTTTATTTTTTGTGCAGCCTACTTCCATTTTAATTCTCCAGTCCTTTCAAGTCCTAACTTGACAGCTGTGTCCTCCCAACAAAAGCTGTTTCTAAAGGTGTCACTGACATTCACACAGGCAACTACCTAAACACACCTTACAAATTTCTTTCTAATGTGCATTTAAAATGGCTAAATGAGATATTTCTGAGAAGAATACAAATAATCCACTTGCATAAAAATGGGAAAGTCAAAGGAAAAATAAGTGGGAATGTGGAGTATGTGGAGGCCTCCCAAAAAAGAATGGAAGCTGTAACAAAGATAAAAGGTGGACACAGTAAATACTGAAAATTTTGATATATAATTTTCTACTTTTTTCCCTGACACCAAAAATGAATAACTTGCATGTAATTTCTGTTTTGAACGAAAATTAAATAAATGAAGGGCAGTCTCTGACATTTGCACAGTACTGTTTATGTTGAGAAGAATAAACATAACCTATACATCCTGTAAAATCCATGTATATAGTTATTGGAATAGACTGTTGTAAAAGGGTTCCTTAGTTATAATCTCACATTGACAGTACAGGCCAACTCTGTTGAACTAGTATGAATGAAGTGTCGTAGTGCAAAAATTAGGAAGACAGAAGGTTTCATTTAGTAATACATGTAGCAGGTGATAGAACAAGACAGTTAATATTACTCATTAGCATTTAGCTATTTAACATCATGCTGTGCACTGCTATATAGAAAGCTGTCCTTAGTGCATGTTTAGGAAAGCAAAGATCGGTTTATTAACTGTGCGCAAACAAAGTAGATGCATATTACAAATAAGTGAGTAATGCAATGTTTAATGTGTATTGGCATTGACCGTCCAGGCTGTACTGCCTCCTAATCTGTGCCACTCTATTACTGTTTAATATCATATTGCATATTTTGACAGAAATGAATGTATCACAGGAATCAAAATGGAAAGTATTTAGAAATATTTAGTGTAGAAAAATATTTGTAAATACTAAATAGTGTGATGACAGTATGGAGAGCTGGTTGCTGTTGTGCTCTCAGGAGTGTGTGCAGTGTTGTTTATTTAGAGAAGCAGGATGCTGAAATACTGAATGTTGGGCTGCTTTTAATTTGCCCCGCTCTGTTGCTGGAGGATTTCCCTTCTCTGAGAGTAATAACTGAGACTCTCAAAGCACAGGCGGACTCGAGATGATTAAATTACAGGAGAGGAAAGACTGTAGCACGTCTGCTGATTGTGTATCTGCTCCGCTTAATTTCGTCCTCACAAGGAAACATTCTCTTTCCTCGGTTCCTCCTTGTGATTTTTTACACGGCAAATTAAAGTCTTCTCAAGAGCCAAATCAAACATTCAGAGGCTGGGGTGTAAGGAATTAATATCTGATAAGAAGGAGGCGGCTTTTCCTGCAATAGTTGTCAAATGGAGAATCTTTTATAGATGGAATTAAATTAGTCTGATTTATGACTGAAATATTACGCTGTGATATCTGGATCAGGTTTAGTGGTTGTAATGTGTAGCATCTGGTCATTCTACTACTACCGTAATTGGAAAGGAATTTTCGCACCTGCTCTGCGTCATTCATTTGTGTTTACATACCTCTCCACTCAGACCTTATGTGTAGGTCTGTGTATATTGATTTTGAACGATTGCATGGTTGTTTACCGTTTCCTCAGGAGAGATAAAGGTACGTTTTCAAGCTTAGGAAATCGTGCTGTGGAATGGCTGTGTTTTGAGGAGGCTGCATCACCTGGGGAGTCGAGAGAGGGAAGAAATGGAAAATCGAGGCACAGAGCAGTTCATTAAAAATTGACTGGCCTAGTTTGATTTGTTTTTGCTGTCTCACAGGTCTTTTCACAAGTTCAGTAGCAGCTCTCCACCCTGAGTTCAGCCGCAGAAACAGAAGAATCATGTTTTTCCACTGAACCCAGCGCTCTTGTTGTGAACAGAATGTACCTGAGGCAAAACCTCCTTCACAGAGGAACGAAAGTAGCCCCGTTTTCTGAATCACTCTGGAACTTTGCGTAGATGACATTTTAATAGCCCTCCGAAACTCGCAACTAGCTGCAGCGACATGTCAGGGTCAGATGGAGGGTCAAAGCTTCCATAGCTGTTCTCTCATCTCTGGAAATCTCAGTTATGTAAACATGACTTGAACCTTCAAGAATGGAGGTTGTCTCAAGCGCTAGACCTTCTCCTCACATTCTCCTAACACAGTGTTATCTTCAGTGCTGTCACTCTCAGCTCTCTCACACTCAACCACCTAAAGTGGGACCTCACTGGACGTGCCTGGAACCAGAGGCTGAAAAGTCCCTGATATGTTCAGTTGAATCAACAAAGTCGTCTATTTTAAGCTTCAAAGAATTTCCTTGGCTATCTGGCTTTGTCTTTCAAGTGTGCCGTAATGAGAGCTCTTAATGTATATCTACTGCTCTCTCACCAACATTTCGCAGGCAAACGCCTCATAGATGTGTACTGTGCAAAGATCAGAGACTACCCTTTACTGATATAATTTCCATCAAAATTAAGTACAAGTTATTAATTTATTCACAAGATATTTCTGTGGCGATTACGTTTAACTTAATTATCCATTTGCATAAGGAAGGTGAAATTCAAAGGAATTCAACAGAAATTTTCTAGATGAGTTTAAAAAAGTATTTAAAGAGAAAATGGGACTCCTAACAACCATGCAAGACCTGGTTGACCACCAAAACTGTCTCCATCAGAAAAACAGCACTTAAAGCTTTCATCTTTGAGAGAGAGGAGAAAATCAAGCTCCACTCTTAGATCTGAAAAAATCTACAACAAACAGGTGTTTCTGTCCATCCTTCCACTGCGAGAAGACAACTCAACACTGTGAGTCTGAAAAATATGAAGCTGTCAAGAAGCCCTTACTGACAAAAAGGAAATAGATAAAAATAAAGAACATTTGCAAATCAAACAAAGAAGCTGTTGGTGTTCTCAGAACAAAATGAAAACAAAACCGACTTCTAAGACCTTTGGAGGTTTACAAGAAGCACATAAAATATCTCTGCAGACGTCCTGGAAAAACTGAAACTAAGTCTCCAGAAAAGAATGGAAGCTGTAATAGGCAAATGGTGGATGCAATAAACACTAAAAGAAATATTATCTGTAGTTACTGAGGCTTCTGTGTAATTTTCTTTTGAAAATATTTTTGTAAAAAGAACCTACACTGTAAAATGAATAACTTATAAGATGTAGGTTGGTCTCTGACTTTTGCACAGTACTTAGTGATTATTCAAACAAAATAGGAGGTAGAATCCATGTTCAAGTTGGCCAGGAGATGTGTTTCTTACATGTTTGGCAATGGGACAGGGAAGTAAATCATTTGTGGAAACGAGCCGCAAAACCAATAATAGTGTTCACTAACTGTAGAAAATAATTTGTAAATATTAATCTTGCACAAATTATTTAACTAAAAAAGCTAAAAAAAAGGGAAAAAAAAATCACACTTTTCCTCAAAATCAGTCTGACAGTGAGCAGACATATCCAACAACATCCTGGTTGTTCAAGAATCTGTTTACCCAGCAAAAGAAAACAGAGCCTACATTGAAAACAGCCATTAGATGTGACTGCACGTTCATGTTAGAAACATGTTAGATACATCACTTTGAGAGTTTTCCACTTTTACTGATGAAGAAAGTTGGCCCGTAGTGTGCTGTTCATTACTATACTGAATATTTCAGAGATTGCTTCGACACCTTAGAGCATTATTTCACACATTGCACTTTTAGCACATTAAGAGACTTTTCCATTGCTTGAAATCAAGAGAATCGCACAGATGGTCCATGAGACCAGCATGCACGAAAAAACAAAGAAGCTGTGAATGATCTTGTGCTTCAAAGCTCCACTTTTTACCAAAAGCTTGATGATTCAGATATTCCTCCTTTCTTCCAAGGGCACCCTTCCAAATCCTCATGTTGCACCAAACAAAGGAATAGGCAGAAAGAGATTACCAGTCAGAGTGGGGTGGCAGTTGTCATCATAGAAGACATGATGATTTGTACTTGAGCTCAGACAGAAAGAGAACATGATTATTGAAACCCCTTTGTAAATTTAGGTAATATGAGTCAGATTCACACAAAACAGCTTAGTTTAAGATTGAAATTACACAATACTTTGCACTACTTTGTAACTCATCATACAGAAGTCCTTTCAATCTGGTATGTGAAACTGTATTTATAAAAGAACACACTGGTCAAAACAAAACCTGTAGTCACTGTAAATTTGCGTTCTCATCTCCTATTGTGGTAATAGACAGTAGTCTGTAGAGCAAGATTTTCTGGTTTAAAAATTACAAACCCCCCCTTCTGTTGATGAATCTTGAAGGTGGGACTTGTGGCGCGTTGGGTGGATCCTTGAGATGCCTGTTTGTTAATAACTCTGAATGTGCTGGGAAGCTGTCCAGAGCAGCAGGAAAAGCTGCAAAGTCTGCACCTGACATTAAACTGACCCGAGTTTAGCACAAGCTCTGGTAGAAACACAATAGTCTAAAATGCATCAACAAATCCATAAATGCATGAACATAAAAATGCAATAAAACTCCCAAAACACAGTAAGAAGGTGCTAATCTAAGGTGAATATTCTATATGGGTTATGTTGTACCTACAATGCACACTTACTCAGCACTAACAATAGTTGTAAATAAAACAGTATAACTACAGTTCAAGTAAACATACCCTGTGTAGGTTAATAAATTAAATAAACTTAATACAAAACCAGAGGAAAAAATAATTACACCAGCAGGTTCTCTGTGCTTCACCAACCTCATGATCACATCTATGCATAAACAGGACAAAAATATGAGTGTTGATCACTGTGTTCTCTCAGTTATATAATCATATCCCATGCAATGTTCTTTAAACAGCATAAATTTGAACGGTACCTTTTTTGAACTGCCTCTCTGTAATTGTACTGAATGCAGTCCAACAGTGATGTTGACCACTGTGGTGCCATTGACGTGCCTGGCTAGACCAGCACGGCATCTATGCAAGGTGGGAGGTCTGGAACCGCCTAATTAAGTTCTTGGACCCCTGAATGTCTCAAAATCAAAATTCCAGAGGGTCCCTGAAAATAAACCTATTATGACATTACGCTGTCCATTAGAGTAAAATATATCATCAAATACAAATTCAGTGAGAGGTCACTGTTTAGCCTGCTTTACCCCGGTAACGGTAAAGTTTCTGTCTTTGGATTTCTTAGAGATGCAGTACTGGTCTGCTTCAAGGTGGCGCTGCAGCAGATTGTTTCACCCATGAATGCCCAGAATACCTCTGAAAATCCTTAGTGTGCCATAGCATATTTGTAAATCTGAAAACTTCCAATTTCCCAAGAGTTTGGTGAAAAGGGTGATTTTTACTCATTTCCCAAACCAAAGACAAAAGATGTGTAAGGTCTCGTTATACGGAAAAGCTCTTTACCAAACTAGAAAAGAGCAATTCTAGGAGAAGGGTTGTTAAACCAACCATTTCGTTGCCATTGAACCTGTCAGCGCCGTTATGGTGAGTGAGTTAGCAGCGGGACCCCTAATACCACAGGCTTTTGTGCACACTGCATTGATGTATGTATATCTATGGGTTTGAAGGTTTGGTATGAGTTTGCTCACGTGTGGACTGAAACACTGATTAAAACGGAAGCGCCTCTGTTCCTTCAAACAGACAACTAAAACTGCATCAAAAACGAGTCTAGTGTGAACTATTCTTAAAATGACAAAAGACATGTTAAATGCTAGTTTTAGGCCAGAATGCTCCTTTAAGAATATGCCTTAATATATAAGCCTGGCCCAGTAACAGAGTCCTCTTATTTGGGTAACCATAACCGCGGTAATAGTTAAACCGGACTGGAGGTTTTTTTTTCCTTTTACCTTTTCATCCTGTAATTTTGTGACGGCCCCTCAAACGGAAGCGAACGCGAGAACGAGCACGAGTTGAAGTTTAATCTTTAATAAAATGCGCATAACATAATAAAGACACGGTTCAGTAAAAGCTGTGGTTGTAGTTTACTGTCATATTTAATTTGGCCACTAACGTGTAATTAATTTAGTGGGAGAGAACGAAATTGCGGGTGTCACATTTACCGTTTGTAGCCGCTTAGCTTAGCCGTTAGCCTTCTACTTTGAAGCCGATTGAAGGGAGGCCGTTGAAGAGCCCGCTTCTCGACGTTCGAGCGCAAAAACATCATTTTACTCGTGTTTCCTGAGACATGAAAGCGTTTTTTTCTGTTGTGTGAAACCAGACAAGGTACAATAAATGTGCATCCTAGCTTGTTTAAAAGTTCGTGTATTCTCTTGTATGATAATAGTAGTGTCTTGTGGCTTTCATGAGTCAGTAACAAAGTTTTAATTCGTCTGTAACCTGGGGGCTGTTAAAGCGTTAACTTTGTTAACCGTCACCGGGCGCAGGACTAGTATCCACAGAGACTTGATGAACATAATGAAGAGGCCAGTGGTTCACATACTGACAAATTAACTGCACACAGAGTAATCACATGTTCCAGAACCAAGGACGATTGATTTATTAGTCTAATATTTGACTCACATATCTGAATTGAACATAGTGTTCATGACCGACTATATATTATATATATTAATTACTAAAAGGTATAAGAGGTAAAAAGAAAAGGCATGTTGTTGAAGTATTCCTTGTGGCCACTTGTATTAAAATAAATTTAAAAAGGCAAGTAAGTACATGCACAGTCAGGAATGAGTCTAAAAAATACATTAAACTGCCAACAATAATTACAAATAAGCAAGCAGAATTAATACATGTAGTTTTGGGATAACAGGAAATGCACGTTTGCTTGTAAACCGTTTCTATTTTGTTGTGTTTTGTTTGTGTTTATGTTTATGTTTCAAGTTCAGTGGTAACTCTCTTTCCCCATCCTGTCTCTAGATCCTCACCCATTGCAGGCTTCCTGGATGACTATGCATTTGTGGTGTGTGGTCTCTTGGACCTCTTTGAGGCCACACAGACTGTGCACTGGCTACAGTGGGCTGAGGAACTCCAGCGCAGGCAGGACCAGCTATTTTGGGATGCCCAGGGCAGTGGCTACTTCTCTAGTGACCCTTCAGACCCCTCCTTGCTGCTGTCCCTCAAACAGGGTGAGATGAAACACAGTCGTAGTTCAATACACCATGCACACTGGAATAAAAGTTAGGACTCACTTATCATATAAATCGTTTTGTGTTATTGTAAGTACAATAACAACCTTTACCAAAAAAAGAGATCAATATCGTACCTGAGCACCTGTTTTAAAATTGGTTACCCTTCTTTCTGTGGTGCAAAGCATGCCGAGCCAGGACATATGGGTGGATTTAGAATCGTGCAGACCGCTGATTGGTCAAAGGCAATTTTCACAGAGCCACACATCACTTGAGTGATACAACCATAGATGTACATACATAGATGCCACGTTGGGTTCATATATACCAAAATGATTTCCATTTTGGGGTGGTCAGGTTCACTGCCCAACTGCATTCAGTATCATTGCAGAGCGGCAGGTTAAGACAGGTACTGTCCAGATTTGTACTATCTCAAGAACATTGCAATCAGAAAATGCGATAGAATTATATAATGGGGAGAACCCAACAACCAGCACTCCTGTTTGTTTGATGTTTATGTGTAGATATGACTGTGTGGTTGATGAAGCACAGAGAACTCATTGATGTAATTGTCTTTCTTCTGATTTTATATTGAACTTATTTCATATAATAGTCTATTTATTTACAATGGTTGTTCATGCTGAATAAGCATTGTAGGTGGCATTTCTCAATCCTTATAGTTGTTCACAATAGATAAGTACCTTCCTACACAAAGCTGAAGTCAGCTTCTTATTCATCAGCTTCTTGTTTGGATTATCCTGTTGCACCTTAAATGGTGCAGCCTCAGGTGCCAAAATATTAATGTTGCACTCTTTAAAGTGGAAAAGAAAAATTTGAACAATAAGTTGCAGAATAGGCAGCCCACTTCAGCCTCGTCCTTCCTACTGTGTTTTGTGGGGTTTATTACATTTTTATGTGCATGAAGATTAGACGTGACTCACACTTCATGGATTTGCTAATGTGTGTGTGATTGTATTTCTACCAGAGCTCCCGCTAAGCTCTGTTTTTCACGGCTAGTGCAGACTGAATACTTTCTTCGTGCTGCTTTGGACAGCTAACCAACATGATCCCAGTTACGAAATAAAAATAAAAGCTACCCAGAGCAGTCCATGCAACTTAGATTAATCTATGTCTGAAGATTATAACAAAACAATTTTGTAAAAATTAGTTGAGTAAATAGGAATTTATGACCATTTTAATCATGAGAAGTCATAATATCTAACGTGTATACACGTGTATACGTGTATTTGTTTACAAGTGTATCTTGGCCAGGCAAACGTGGCGAACATGCAGACGTCGCCTCAAATAGAGCAGAAACGCGGCACCTGTGTATGTATATCCAAGCATACAACCACCATTTCAAGAAAACACTAACTAGTCAGAATCCCAATTAAATGGAAAGGCAGAACTCTTCCATTGTTGCTGCAGTTGTTTACTGTTGACACTAGTGAGAAATAATGTGACTGCACAACCTCTAGAGAACACCCCCTACTTACAGTTCTGTTGTATGATGGGAAACAGACACAGTGTATAGATAGTTCTGTATTTGGATTAGCAGCAGTACCATACTGTACCACACTGCATGGTTAAAAAAAAAAAAAACACCCTTCTACAGCTCTGTTGACCATTCTGGACATATTTAATATATTTTTAATTTTTTTATTGAACCTGTGAAGTTACACAGGAATAGCGTATTAGAATCATTTTATGCATTTGTTTACAATCAAATTGGTTTTGTGTATTGAAAGATTTGATTCCAAAATTTGTACAGTGACTCCAAACCTCTGATTTCCACTAAGTGATTTACGAGTATCATAAGGCTTTTGGTCATGAAATATGTCAAAAATATAGACCTGCCTACTCAAGATGTTTGCGTTTTTTTCGTTATTCTGTTTTGCTTATTTTAGAATAAAATTAAAGACCTCAAACTATGAAATGAAACGTATGGAATGAGTAGGAGTAATAATAATAATTATGCATTATGCAGTGACCATGAAGTCAAAGTTATCTCATATATCAGATTAAAAGTAGCCTGTTTTTCCTTGATGTTCACTTTACACACTCATGTTCTCTCAAGCAGCCTCATGAAGAGCCTGGAATGCTTTTCCGTCAGGCTTGAAGAAAATACACACATGCTGAGATCTTATTGGCATTCCAAAAAGAGTTAACATTTTCATTGTGGAAATAAATTCATAGGCTTGACCTGCAATAGGGGTACGCCTGGATATTCAAGTACTCAGTTAAACCAGAGAGTGTGTAGCTTCACCATGTCCCCAAGGTTTGTCAAGCACTAGATAGCACATTCGAGCGAGTCTAAAATGAATGGGTTTCTGTGGAACTTTTGTACAAAATAATAGTTTGTAAATACATAATTATTTTTAATATAGAAGAATGCAGTATTTTTACATTTTTGAGCACCTTTGAGTTTTAGGACTTTTTAACAGTGTCTCATGTACAATCATGACATCTTATGAGCATGAACCGCTTTTGTCAGCTGTCAAATCAGTCACCCCTTAGCAGCAGTAGTAGTAGCATCCTACTGCCCAAAACCTGTTTACTGTAGAAAAACAAAGGTACTGAGAAGGTTTTTTTTTGTCTAGTACAATGTTATACTTTCAATAATTACAGGGAAGGTCTCATACAAATCATTAGAAACATGTTTAATTTTTCGTTTTTTGCCATTTAGCTCCATTCGCCCTGATTCATTTAGTGATTCATCACTATTCCAAACTTGCGTTTGACAGTCATGTTTTTCATATAACTGGAGAAATAGGAAGTGGCCTGGCTCTGGTTAAATGTATGAGGTGCCAGTAGTTGACACAATTCAGTGTCAGCGTTTGCAGTCACATTTCAAATATTTTTAAGGGTTTATTGTGGGACAACAGAAAAAATATAAAGGATAACAATTTAGAGAAACACCAGTTTGATATTTTAACATGACTATGAAATGCCATGTAGTTTTGTGAGTAAGTATATTGTACTTTGCTAGTATGAAACGTGAGTCACTGAATCTGAGCGAGTTGCCAAGGACATGTTTTTAATTTGACTGAAAAGGCAGAGGCTAACTGGGAGGTCCTCACAAAGCAGGATTTTTCAGTTAACCAGATACGATGAGGACTGTCCAATAAGAATGTCCCTCAGCTCTTATCACATTGGACAGGCTTGACTTTGAGCTTAAGTTGTGTGGCTAAACTGAAAAATCCTGCTTTGTGAAATTCCCCCTGGGCTGACTACTCTAGCTGATGTTAGCTAGGCCAAGAAAAAGTGAAAATATATTTCTAGAAAAAAAAGTAACCTCTTGGTGTTTTGTCCACTGAGGAGAAAGACGAGTTCTCATCTGCATCCATTGCCAGGTAGTGTGGGCTCGTTAGCTCCTCTGAAGCGGCAGCTTCCATTACTAATCAGATGCAAAACCTACTCATTTCCCATGGCTGCTTTTAAATAACAAATCAGGTTTAACCTCCAGTTAAGCAAGGCCTACTGCTTTTGGCTGAAGTCCATCATTTTCTTTTTTTGTTGCTGCTTTTTCTTTCAGCGCGGTTTACCGGATCTCCATTAATGAACTGCTACGAATACTTGAATAATAAAATATATTAAAGTTTAACCTCCAGTTAAGGAAAGCCTACTACTTTAGGCTGAAATCCATTTTTTCCTTATTTTTGCTGCTTTTTCTTTCAGTGCAGTTTACCGTATATCCGTTCATGAACCTTACGAGTACTCAAATATCAAATTTGTTGGAAGGCACATACCTAACCTTTATATTGTTTAGAAAACAACTTTTCAAGCGTTTAAATATAAAGCTTTACATTCAAATATCTTTAAGATTTAAATATCAAGATTATGAAATACATTCAGTCAGGCATGTCTAAACTTTTGATTGGTAGTGTAGATGGAGTGGTGTGGATTGATTGAGTGTGCTGTATTTTCTCGACTGGGCTGATTGGTGTGGGAGTATGTGGGAGTATGAGGGAGTGAGTCATTTGGACAGGGTGAAGGAGATGTCCTGCTGTCACTCAGTGTTCAGCATCACTCCACTGCATAGCACTCCCATCACCCCATTGCTGATAGCACGCTAGCAAACGTAGTGAAATCCTTCAGCACTCTGTCACCGCTCTGTCTTATTGCCCCTGGTAACCTTTCTGTTTTGACTGGATGTTTCTCCCTTCTATTCAATTCCTTCTTTCTTTCATTTTTCCCATGGAATTCTGTCATCCTTTCCCTTTTCCTTTAGTTGTCCTTTTTTCTGGTCCATCTTCTATGTCTGTGTGTCCTACGAAAAGTTTTTCATGCTGTTTCAGCTCCTTTTTGGGGAAAACCATATCTGCCAGGTGCATTAGTGCCTGGCTCTGATGTCCTGAACAGCTTGGTTCCATATTTTGTCACCAAGAATTGGAGGGACATGCTGATACTAACACACAGCAGTGCCTCCGCCTATGACTGATGGCACTGTGAAAATGACACTGACACCAGTGAGATATGGTTGTAGAGGGGGAAAAAAGCAAACTGTTATGCTTTTGTTGTTGCTGCTGGTAAATTAAAAGGGACGTAAGACAGATTTTTCGTCTTTTCAGAGTGACTGCACCATTATATAGTGAGCCTAGCGTGTAGAGTTCCATTAGGAGCTGTGCGGAGCTGCACTGTGTCAGAGCGGAGTATCTCCAGCACACTGTCACTGGAAGACGGATTACCTCCCAGACCACATGCCACTCTCCATTTTACGCCCTGCCCAAAACCAGCCAACTCCAAACCTCCCTTCTCTGCTGCAGATATCTGATAGCCTGCCGCTATATCTGATTTTATTATTATTATTATTATTATTCGTTACTTGCATGAATTTTTATTCCTATTGCTAAGTGCTTTGAGTCAAGGGAGTCATATTGCTTCATCTGTATGAGCAGCATGTGACAGCATGTGTCATTTTCGAGGGTGCTTGCCATATTGAATGTGTGTGTGTGTGTGTTTGTGAGAGTTTCTGTGCTATTAGTCCACATACACTACCGTTCAAAAGTTTGGTCAAATGAAAAATAAAATTTCATATGAGGTTCATATTTTAAAAAAATGATTGATGCATGCCTAAATAAGTGAGTGTAGGGCTGCCACTAATGACTATTTTACCAATTAGTAGATTAATCTACACAAACCAATGTCTGTGTGAGCACTGTCAGTCAATGTAGAATGAGATTTTCTCAAACACTTATTCAGTGGAAATTCTCAGGTAACAGGCGGATGATTTTACAGCTTTAATAATGAGTGTATTTAGCAGCTACAAGGAAAGCAAATTTTAAAAACATTAATGGTAATTTAGTAAACATGAGTAGACAAACAGTTGCGTTAGTTTTTTTTTGTCTTTTTTGACAGCCCATCATCCAGAATAGTGCCTGTTTGTTTCCTCTTCAGGTGCTCGTGCGTCGTGCTAGTGCTGCTGTGGTATATGAGGCTGAAGTTTGCTTCTTATTCACCAGCTTATTGTTTGAATTTTCCCATTCTACCTTAAATGGTGCAGCAGTTATTATTATAACACCTAAGGTGTCAGAATGTCACTTCTGCACCTTTTAAGGTGGACTGGAAAAATTCAAACAAGAAGCCAGCGAACAAGAAGCTGACTTCAGCTTCATCTGTGGTATGTTGTTGAAACTTTGCATGGTGTACAAAAACCACCTTTTTGTTTGGTGCTAATTTGAAGTACTCGCATACTTTCGGTGCCTTGGGTCTTTGGAAACTTTTAAAAGCCTCTTTAGTAATCCGAATCAGATTTTGCTGCAGCTGATGCAATTTTTTCAGAAACTGTAGCATTAAATAGAGCAGACCAATGACTGGAGCCAAAAACTACTGACATAATACATGCAGCAGTCACATAGTGGTATTGAGGAAAAGCACATTTTGGAAAAAAATGTGCGTCAGTTTAATGATGTCAATACATTTACAGCATTGACCTCACCGATTATATCAACAAATTACGACAGGCCTAATAGAGTGTAGATTGAAATGTTATAAGATGGACTACAGACTGGAATGCTTTTAAACTATGGGGCAGATTTATGAACGTTTTATACCATCACAGACCCTGTTTTGGCATTTAAAAACCGACTCTCACATTCACGTTTAGCGCCTTTAGCACCCGTAACAAGATCAAAGGGATAGTCACTCGTCTTTTGTCTTATTGCATGTACATTGGTTTTCCCCTCTCACAGCGTGAAATACTGGGAGGAGAAGATCATTAATTGCCAAGATGGATAGTAAATATCGACTTGGCGCTGTTTATTGTCTGAGAAAAGCTTGTCTTATTTTTGCCGCTAAAATGGCTGCTTTTGTTTGTGCACAGAGACAGAGAAAATAAAAAATTTATTTACTTTCAATGGGGAAAAAAACATTTATGAATGCCTGTCATATTTTACTATTCTTAATTTGATGAAAGAAATAGAAAATCTAAAATCAAATTGCTAATAAAAATAAAAATAACAATGCTAAATACTTAATTTTGATACTACACAGCTTCCATTGCCATTTTAGAATGCAGTTCTGTTCATCAAAAATGTCTCAGTTCTTTCCAGCTTTCTACAGATTGTATGAAACTTGTGGAGATTTGGAGCATGATTTTCGAACCATATGTGTCTCTGCAGCCAAACTGGAAACAGTGATTCTAGACTTTTGATTGGTAATGTAATAGCATCTGTTTGGGACAGCGTTGTGCTCTATGTCAGTCACCACCTCTGTCTGTCTCTTAGCCACCAGACTGTCCACAACTCTGCATGAGGTCATAGAGCACAGAAAACTTCTCCCAGGATACATACACACAAACACAGAAAAGCAGATAAAACCAGTCAGCTCACAACTCTTAGCCACTTCACCTGCATTATCAGGCACTTTTAGCTCTATGTAGGTTGATAAATGGGTGAAGGTCATATTGATCATTTGAATCGTCAATGTACCGACACTTAACTTTCCCAGAGCAGTGGTATTTATATCAGAGTGAGGGCGAAAACAATCTGATTGTTATTTTATATGCATTGTGGTTATTCAGTTAAGGTTGCAGTCTTAAAAATGAAGGTGCCAAAAAGGGTTCTTGGGAGTTATGCTATAGAGGAACCCTAAAGGACTTTTCATTTAATGGTTCCTTAAATATATGTATATTTTGTAAGTGTGATCATTGAATGTAAACAGTATTTGTAAAGTTTAAAGAACCTCCACACAATGTAAGTATTCTATTCTAATTAAAGTTGCTTTTTTAAGTAGAGAATTAATTAGGAACTTTTGTTTTTAAGTGTATAAGAAAGTGTCTTTTTCTCTGCAGATCAGGATGGTGCAGAGCCCAGTGCAAACTCTGTGTCTGCACTGAACTTACTACTCCTGTCCCACCTGACAGGCAATGAAGAATGGAGGCAGCGCTCTCAGCAGCTGCTGACTGCTTTCACTGATAGGCTAGTTAAGGTGCCCATCGCCCTTCCTGACATGGTCCGTGGCCTCATGGCACATCACTACCCCTTTAAACAGGTAAACAATGCTGAAGCTGGTGTTTGCTGATCAACCGGTCATCACAGTGGATTTCTTGTATTTGTTTCATGTAAAGCAAAAATATTCACTGTGAAACATGGTTATACTTTGTGTGGTAACAAGCGGTTTAACTAGTTTTGTTCAACACTTGGTTCACACTTGCATATACAGTCAAATGCAAAAGTTTGGGCATCCCTGGTCAAATTACATGTTTTCTTGATTTTCGAAGTAAGAATAAGTTAACATGTCCACTACAGAGTACACACATTTCTGTGCACAATTACTGATTATTTGCTGAATTCAACAGATTGGAAAAGAAATAAAACGTGGTCTGTGTAAAAGTTATATTTTAGGGTTTATTTTATCTAATATGTTATACTCAGCAAATAAATAGAAATTGTGCACTAAAATTTGCAGAAAAATGTTAGATTTATTTTTTTCTTTGTAGAGGATGTATTAACTATTTTACTTTACAAAGTAAACAAACCATGTACTTTTATATGACTGGGGTGTTTTTTGCACATGACTGTAAACCAGGGATGAAAAAGACTCACTGGCAGGCTGTGCTGCTAATTCAAGTGAAGTCACTTTCTCCAAAGTTTCCTCCTCTACCAGTACATTTTAGAACTGTGAAAATGTGTCATGACCGTTAGAGCTCACCTGCACAGGAGAAGTCATCTGAAGAGGAGAAATAACAAACTGGAGGTCCAGGCAAGGGCAGCCTGATCCCCAGCACACCTGCCCACCTTATTACTGCAACAAGCACAACTGACCCCCTCTTTTTCTTTCTGTATTTCTTTCTTTATTTCTTTTTTCTTTCTGTATTTCTGTATTTTCTTATTCCTGTGTTTTTTCTTTCTATTTTTCTATATTTTCTTTTTCTGGATTTCTTCATTCTGTCTTTCATTCTTTCCTTCTTTCTTAGATAATTATCTGTGGCCAGCCTGATGCAGAGGACACAGCTGGCCTGATTGCCTGTGTCAACTCCCTGTTTCTTCCCTACAAAGTAAGTTTTGTTTGGTTTTCTGTTTGATTTTTTTTTCCATAAGGATTTTGTAATAATTATCAGCAGCAGTAGAAAGAAAGTGTGCAAGTCCTCTGAAACACAGATATAAAACAAGGGTATACAGTGATGCAATGTAACAGGAATAAAGTGAAATATTATTTAGAGAATGTTCACTATTCAATCTGTTGAAGTATTGAAGTGCGTGTACTAAAATACACAAAAGTGTCAACAGCAAACATCAACATTAAACAGATCTGTGATTTGAGGCTGCATTGGGGTACATTTGAGAGTCAATCAGTGCAAACTGTGTTCACAAGCAGCCTTGAATGCATCAAACCTTATCACAAATTCTTGAGCTTATATTCTTCAATATATACACCATGCAGGTCACATATGATGTTCTCTTGCTGAATCTATAGTATTGCATAAACACAGCAGTACTATAGCCCATTAGCAGCTTTTTTCTGGCAGGCATAGTAAGACTAGGAGCTTTCTTTAAAGAAACAAATAAAAATGAGTTATGAGAGCATTATTGTATGTTGATTGATGTCTTTGTAGCTTCCTCAAGAGACATGCTGGGCACAGCTTGCCAGGCACATCACAAAATCTAGCTTGAGATAAAAGCACACTGAAAGTACTATTTGATATGGAGTAGAATGATTCACAAATTGCTATCCAAAATTGAAACTTTTGTCACATCTTTCTCTTCTTTTTTTCTCTATCAGCTAGACCTGGACTGTGGCCAAAACCTTACAAAGCTGTGATTTGGTCTCTTTTGCACATTTTCTCTGTATCTAACCATATAATCCTCCTTTTTCTCTTTCTGAATAACACACTTGTTGGTCTGCCCAGAGTTGCCGTGTGCATTAGCGCATAGTCAGAGCCCTCATGCTAATGAGTGGGGCAAAGTAATCTTGCACAAAAGGTCAAGTTGTCAGATTTCTGCCCTGTGCATGCTGATGCACACACTGTGAGGCAGGAGCTGGGACAATGGCTGCACAGCACACCCCGTGCAGAATGATTTTGGAATAATTAGTAAATAATTTGGGTTTTCTGTAGGCGGTTGCCAGAGGCCTGGCTTTGTACTTTTTTTCTTTTAGTGTAAAGGTCATGGTAGCTCAGAGATAGCGTTTTCACTCTTCCTGCCCTTTTCCTTGCTCTGCGCTTATAGCTCCTCAGCTTATTCATCACAGAGAGCAAACACACAGGCACACACACCGATTACACCTGCCCTTTTAGGTTTTTACTGTGGAACGCAGCTACCTAATGCAACGCACGTGAAGTATCCACATTGGGGGCACCCCTTTTCCATTTATTTCTAATCTGTTTGCCGTCCTTGCGGGAATGAAGCTGGCATGCCGTGGGAATCTAATATTGTTACTCTCTGAGCAAAATCTCTAGGGAGAGCCTCTTCCCTATTAGTGAGCACGCAGCAGTGGAGTTTTAAAGAAAAAAGATGGAGTACGTTGGATTTGGAAAGTAGGCCAGAACCTTCGCAGTGATATTAACTGTTTGTAAATTACAACAAAATCTGATTTGTTGCAATTAGCTGTGTGTTTTACCGAACAGGCTCTGTTTATCGCATGGAAGAGTGAGAGGTATTTATTTTGTTATTAATGGTGGATATTTATGAATGGCTTAAAATTCAGCTGGTCTGGTAGTTTGTTAAAAAATGGAAGAAAATGTAACAAAATAAAACTCTGGGAAAGAAAATACAAAAAAAAGAAAGAAAAATGCAAGGCAAGTGGCAACCTGGGCCACAGGCTCTCCATTTTTAGAGGACAAAATTTGAAGGGGCACAGAGCAATAGGCAGTATTGACCCCTGGGTGTATCCTGGTCCTGTGCTAACTAAAGCTGTCACAAAATACTCAAATAAAAAAAAATGCTTTCTCACTAAATCGTTAGTGATTAGTGGTTGCTGACTGTTAGTGACTATTGGTGATTTAGTGTCATTGGCAGACCTTGGCTTTAGAACTTTATGCTGGTCATAGTCTGGATGGTCCTTTTTGTCTTTGGCCCAGAGAACGACATCCGTTATTTTCATGAACAGTTTAAAAGGCGGACTTGTCAGATGACAATCGTTCCACTGAACATCAGACCGTTTCAGAGCCCAGAGAAATCTGTGGAGTGTCTGGACGCTGTTGTCATATGGCTTCTGCTTTGTATAGTACATTGAGTATGAGGGATCGAAAGTCAGGGGCATTCATTTGTGGTTTTCAGCCCTGGCTTTTATGCACAGAGATTCCTCTGGATTCCTTGAGTCTTTATAGGGGGAAGTACCTAAAATCCTTTCAGTCAGTCATTGCTGAATGCTCTTTTTAAACCCATGAATGATTTCGTCCCTTGTTAAGATGTTTTTTGAACATTTGTCCCAATCCTTATCCCAGCTTTTTTGGAATATGTTGCAAACATCAGTTCAAGATTCAGATTTCCATATATCTGCCAAAAATAAAAATAAAAAAGGAATAAGTTGGTAAAATGAAACATTTAAATATGTTATTTTTGTACTGTTTTGGTTTAAATACAAGTTAAAATGGCTTTACAAATCATTGCTTTCTTTGTATTTCACATTGTCTCAACTTTTGAAGTGACTGTTTTGCATGCTTTAGCTCTGAATTACTGTACCTTCAGCATGCTGATGTCTTGTGGTAGTTAACATTGAACCCAGGAATTGACCCCCACTCATAAGTGTCATCGTTTACTATGTGGGACACAGAGTGTCAGCTCCTATAAGCTGGTAGTGGTGTAGTGACAGAAGCACAGAGCTGTCCCCTGATCCAGCATTCTGCTGCTGTCACTCTGATTAGCCTTGTCCATCTCTGCTAGTCCTGACACCATAAAGCACTCAAGCTACAGCAACAGCAAGAAGAAAACTGCAATGCTAATGTTCCAATTCCACTGTTATTCCACTGTTTTGCACATACTGTTTTGCACATAGTATAATTGGCTACACATTAACAAGCAAGAGAAACTGGCCAAATTAAGCCCCTTTTTGTTGGGCACTAACACCATGCACATGTTGTTGAGTGACTAGTGATTCAGTCATTTGTTTTGGAAGCAACTGAGGTCAACTAAATCCATCCAGTAATTTGCACTTAGCCAGAAACCAACCACTGAGGGCTTATGAGAACTAGAGTCTGGTCTATTTTCAGATGCGGGCTGCGAACGCAATCTCAGGAAATGCTAAGATTTGTGCTGGTTTTCGTTTTTTTTGCTGCCTAAATTCAATTGTATATCCTCATGTGTTCTGTCCACATGTCAACAGGTCTCTCACTTCCGCTGGGTTTGGTAGCAGAAGGGGAGAACTCAGCCTGTTGCCTAGACACAGCCAGGCAGGCATAAGGCTGATGAGGTTGGGAGTAATGAGTTAGTGTTAGTGAGGGCAGTTAAAAAAATAAAAAAAAAACAGAACAGAATTTCATCTGGCCAGGCACTGATAAAGAAGCAAGCATCCCACGTGTGGCCCCGTTCTGCAGCGGCTAAGCCGCAGATGGACACTGGCCCAAATTGTTTGTTTAATTGACTCAGACATGATCGAAAGAGCCAGTCGCATCACCCTGTTGATTGTGGAGTCGGAAGAGCCTGCTGAAAAATAGATGACTTTCTCTTATTGAGCTGAGCCTGCAGTCAAATCATCATCCCTACCTTAAATCCTCTGGGGAAAGAGCTATTCTTAGAGACCTGGAGAAAGTGCTGCTTTACAGCGTCATATTTTGGAGTCAGATTGTCCCTTGGAGTATCCTAGAGATATGATATACATACTTTAGATACTGTTATTAGTACAGCAAATCTTATTTTAACAGAAAAACCTATAGAAACTGCTGAACAAATTGAATGCATATCCTTAATTGTAGATGATGTTCTCTTTTTAAATCTATGCTAGAGTGGTATAACTTGGAGTATACTAGGGTTATGATATGCATTCCATTAGATAATGTTATTAGTAGAGCAAATCTTATTTTAAAAGAAAATCCTATAGAAACTGCTGAAAAGACTTAATGCATATCCTAAATGTAGATAATATTTTCTTTTTAAATCTATGCTGCAATGATATAACCAAGAAAACATAAGCTCTTTGAATGAGTAATAGACATGGTTTTCACATGCAGACTCAGCACTAGCATGAACTGTAGTGGGAATCATCATGCTTAATCACTGAAGCAGCTGGGTGGATTAGTGGCTCTAATTTCAGCAAAACCAGGGCTACTGTCTAAACAAAGGACCACAACACAGTCAATACAATGTGTATTACTGACTTATATTTTCTTCACAGAGGAAGTATAAATGTGTTAATATATCAATATCTCTGAAATCACAAAGCGCACACACACACACAGACTCACATATATAACCACATATTAAAGCCATGAAGATCTGCTTCCATGTGCAGAATAGGAAATTGAGTTTTACAGTCAGAAGCCCAGAGACTGTGGGCTTGATGAGATTTTCCCCTCGTAAGTTGACTTTAGAATGGCAGTGGCCTCTTCACTATACTTGCAACTAGGCAGCAGTGACCTGAGACCTTTTATATGACACTGATGCGCCCTGCTGCCAACCGTCATTTAGACTGTGCCCATCATAGACTAAATCTCAATCTACTGAGAATTATTAAACTACCATTCCTTGTCCTCGTCCACCATTCTTTTTGGATATACTGCTTTTTGTGAGCATAAAGTAGAATTCTCCATTTGCGCTTTCTGCACAGTATGGCCTTGCTGATTTGACAAAGAATAAAATGCACAGTTACTTCAGATGTAGTTGATCAGCCAAGATGTATTTAGACCTACAAGGCTGATGTTGCAAACAAACATTACAAGCCAAAAGACACTATAAACAACCCCAAAACGTCTCTCAACCAGCTCTTTATTAAGGTCACAACAACTTGATGTGCTTTAGACAGGGTTCGTACGGTCATGAAAAACCTGGAAAAGTCATGGAATCTGAAAATAGCAATTTCCAGGCCTGGATAAGTTTTGGAAAAATAAATAAACCCAGTAGG